CCTTCCTTCCTTCCTTCCTTTATCTGTCACTTTTCCCTTTTCTCCTCTTACTTCACGATCATTCTTCCTATTTCAAATTCTTCCTTTCTTCCACTGTTTTACCTTTCTATTATCTATACTTCTCCCCCCATTCTCCTCTTCCTTCACACGCGATCTTCTCCTCTATTTTGTATCTTTTCTAGCCTTCCATCTTTCCTCACTCCCTTCCTTCCTCCCTCCCTTCCTCCCTCTCTCCCTTCCTTCCTTCCTTCCTTCCTTCCTTCCTTCCTTCCTTCCTTCCTTGCTTCCTGCCTGCCTGCCTGCTTTCCTTCCAGCCTCCTTCCTTCCTTCCTTCCTTCCTGCCTGCCTGCCTGCTTTCCTTGCTGCCTCCTTCCTTCCTTCCTTCCTTCCTCCCTCCCTTCCTTCCTTCCTGCCTGCCTGCCTGCTTTCCTTCCAGCCTCCTTCCTTCCTTCCTGCCTGCCTGTCTGCCTGCTTTCCTTCCTGCATCCTTCCTTCCTTCCTTCCTTCCTTCCTTCCTTCCTTCCTTCCTTCCTTCCTTCCTTCCTTCCTTCCTTCCTTCCTTCCTTCTTCCCTTCCTTCCTTGCCTGCCTGCCCCTTTCCTTCCCTGCCTCCTTCCTTCCTTCCTTCCTTCCTTCCTTCCTTCCTTCCTTCCTTCCTTCCTCCCTCCCTTCCTTCCTTCCTGCCTTCCTGCTTTCCTTCCAGCCTCCTTCCTTCCATCCTTCCTTCCTTCCTTCCTGCCTGCCTGCCTGCTTTCCTTCCAGCCTCCTTCCTTCCTTCTTTCCTTCCTTCCTTCCTCCCTTCCTTCCTTCCTTCCTTCCTTCCTTCCTTCCTTCCTGCCTGCCTGTCTGCCTGCTTTCCTTCCTGCCTCCTCCCTTCCTTCCTTCCTTCCTTCCTTCCTTCCTTCCTTCCTCCTTTCCTTCCTTCCTTCCTTCCTTCCTTCCTTCCTTTCTGCCTGCTTTCCTTCCTGCCTCCTTCCTTCCTTCCTTCCTTCCTTCCTTCCTTCTTTCATGCCTGCTTTCCTTCCTGCCTCCTTTCCTTCCTTCCTACCTGCTTTCCTTCCTTCCTTCCTTCCTTCCTTCCTTCCTTCCTTCCTTCCTGCCTCCTTCCTTCCTTCCTGCCTGCCTGCCTGCTTTCCTTCCTGCCTCCTTCCTTCCTTCCTTCCTTCCTTCAATTGTTTTCTTTCCTTCCATTATCTATTCACCCCGTCCTTTTCTTCTCTTTCGTCACACGTATAATTCTCGATTTCAAATCCATTCCTTTCCCTTTAACCTTCCTTCCTTCTTTACTCTCTTCCTTTCGTCTTTCCTTCCTTCTTTCCTTCTTTCCTTCTTTCCTTCCTTCCTTCCATGACCTATTCCTCCTTTCCTTTTCCCCTCTATCTTCACATTCATTCTTCTTCTCTATTTCAAATTCACCTTGCCTTCCTTCCATCCCTCCTTCTGCTGCTTTTCCTTTATTTCTATAATCTCTCCCACCCTTCATTTTCCCCTCTTCTTTCATCCTTAACACCCACAATTCTTCTCTATGTCAAATCTTTCCTTAATTCCTCTGTTTTTTCTCCTTCCTTTCTAATCTCTGTCCCTATCTCCTTTTCTCTTCTTCCTTCCCACGCATTCTTCCTCTCTATTTCAAATCTTTTTCATTCATTCCTCCCTTCTCCTGTTTTTCCTTCCTTCCGTTATCTATTCCCCACTTCCGTTTCTCCTCTTCCTTCACGCATTCTTCCTCTCTATTTCAAATCTTTTCATTCATCCCTCCCTTCTCCTGTTTTTCCTTCCTTCCGTTATCTATTCCCCACTTCCGTTTCTCCTCTTCCTTCACACGCATTCTTCCTCTCTATTTCAAATCTTTTTCATTCATTCCTCCCTTCTCCTGTTTTTCCTTCCTTCCGTTATCTATTCCCCACTTCCGTTTCTCCTCTTCCTTCACACGCATTCTTCCTCTCTATTTCAAATCTTTTTCATTCATCCCTCCCTTCTCCTGTTTTTCCTTCCTTCCGTTATCTATTCCCCACTTCGTTTCTCCTCTTCCTTCACACGCATTCTTCTCTCTATTTCAAATCTTTTTTCATTCATCCCTCCCTTCTCCTGTTTTTCCTTCCTTCCGTTATCTATTCCCCACTTCCGTTTCTCCTCTTCCTTCACACGCATTCTTCCTCTCTACTTCGGATCCTTCCTTTCTTCTTTTTCTTCTTCTCTTTCGCATTTCATTTCAACCTTACATTCTAGTTTATCTCATTTTTCTCACATTCCTTTATTCTCCCACCATCTTTATTTGCCTTCTTTCTTTTTGTTTCTATCTTTAGTTCATTTTTATTTCTTTAGTTTACCCTTCTCTTCCCTCCCCTTCTGCTATACCATTCTCTCTCTCTCTCTCTCGCTCTTTGCTTCTTTTCGCCCTCTTCATACCAAATTTCTTTTCTTTCTTTCTTTCGTTCCATCTTTCCATCCTTCCTTTCTTCCTCGTTCTTTTCCTTTCTTCCTCTTCGTTGTTTTACCCCTCTTTCTTCCTCCCGCCTCTTCTCTGTTTTCATCTTCTTTCTTCCATTTACTTTCCTCTCCATTCCTCTTCCTTACATTCGTTTATCACTCACACTCTTTCCTTCTCCCATCCATTGCCCTACTTCGTTTCTTTGTGTTCCTTCCTTCGTTGGTTCCTTCCCTCCTCCCTGCCTGCTTTCCTTCCTGCCTCCTTTCCTTCCTTCCTACCTGATTTCCTTCCTTCCTTTCTTCCTTCCTTCCTTCCTTCCTGCCTCGTTTCCTTCCTTCCTTCATGCCTGCTTTCCTTCCTATCTCCTTTCCTTCTTTCCTTCCAGCCTGCCTGCCTGCTTTCCTTCCTGCCTCCTTCCTTCCTTCCTTCCTTCCTTCCTTCCTTCCTTCCTTCCTTGCTTCCTTCCTCCCTCCCTCCCTTCCTTCGCTCATTCCTGCCTGCTTTCCTTCCTTGCCTTCTTCCTTCCTTCCTTCCTTCCTTCCTTCCTTCCTTCCTTCCTTCCTTCCTGCCTCGTTTCCTTCCTTCCTTCCTTCATGCCTGCTTTCCTTCCCTACCCTCCTTTCCTTCCTTCCTTCCTTCCTTCCTTCCTTCCTTCCTTCCTTCCTTCCTCCCTCCCTTCCTTTGCCTGCTTTCCTTCCTGCCTTCTTCCTTCCTTCCTTCCTTCCTTCCTTCCTTCCTTCCTTCCTTCCTTCCTACCTGCTTTCCTTCCTGCCTCGTTTCCTTCCTTCCTTCATGCCTGCTTTCCTTCCTACCTCCTTTCCTTCCTTCCTTACTTCCTTCCTTCCTCCCTTCCTTTCATGCCTGCTTTCCTTCCTACCTCCTTTCCTTCCTTCCTTCCTTCCTTGCTTCCTTCCTTCCTTCCTTCCTTCCTGTCTGCCTGCTTTCCTTCCTGCCTCCTTCCTTACTTGCTTCCTTCCTTTTCTCCCTTCCTTCCTTGCTTCCTTCCTCCCTCCCTTCCTTCGTTCATTCCTGCCTGCTTTCCTTCCTGCCTCCGTTCCTTCCTTGCTTCCTTCCTTCCTTCTTTCCCTCCTTCCTTCCGTTTTCGTTTCCTGTTTACTTCTCACTTACTTCATCTATCCTCTCTCTATTCATTTCTTCTTCCTCTTTTCCTTCTTTTCTTCCTCCCTTCTTTCTTTTCTTCCTCTTTGAATCTTTCCCCTCCTCGCTCTGTCTCTATCAACATCTATCTATTTTGCCTATTACTTCTCTCCGTCTTCCTTCTCAATTGCTTATCAATGTGATTGGACAACAGAAGTAGCCGAGAACCTCCCCTTACCAATCATTATCCATTCAGCCCGTCTTCCCTCCTCATCCCCGCTGCACTTGTCGAACCACACCTTCTTTTCAGACGCGAGATTTTGCCTTGGACTGACATTTACGCCCAGTGTGCAGTGAGCGGAAACGTTTTCCAACGCAGTCGAATTCCTATTCCATGCCTCACTTCATCCCTATTGCCTGTCGATGTCCACTGGGCCATAGCAAGGCGAAAAGATGGTGGAGATTTTCCCTTTTACCCAACACTCCGACAACTTCGAACAATGAGCGCGGACGTAGCAAAATGGTTTTGATAATGACAAGTGTGAATATGGTAATATGTTGTCGTAGAAGCGGGTTTCGAGGAGCGAGGTGGCACGGAGAACGAATCCGGCGGAGTGAGTTCAATTCCATTGTCGTACATCAGAGGACAACCCCCCCAAAAAAAACCTCTTCTTTTGCCATAATAACACGACCCTTATAGTCCCTTAGGTTCGTACTCACATCGCGTATGCTGCAATCATATTTGCAATATATAGCGTAACTGAGCTTGACGGAGCCCGTCCCTCTTTAAGCTGATTTTGAAAAACACAAAATTCATAATCCGACGCCACAGCACTATATCAACAAAATTTAAAAACAGAGTAGTCAGCACTAACACTAAGATATTGACCAACATCTTCAAGACAATTAGAGATATAATTAATAAATAAAAATAGATCCCACATCAGATACCGTCATTTCTGATAGAAAAAAAACATAAATGTAGGAAACGCTACATAGGTGAAACATCTAGAAATATAAAAGCCTGCATCTACGAACATAAGAATGGCCTACGTTGGGACAACATTTCAAACTCGCTCGTAACACAGAGAAAGAAAGGAAACCATACATTCGATTTTATAAATGCCATGATTTTATAAATACCTAATCAGAAGAAAAAAAAACATAATTTATTACGTATGAAATACATAGAGGGACTCATGATAAATATTTAGACATTCATAAATATACGTCAAACACAATGGATTATATCACCAACTTTATAAAAATTCATACTTAAAAAATCTAAAATAGGTCGATCTACAACTACAACCGGTGTAACTTATTATTCCATTATTATTATTATTATTATTTCACCCTCACACAAAACAACCCCTATTCGTACAACCATAAAACGTAGACGAAAATTCTTACTAAATGACCATTCGTGCACACAAGCAAACACACAATCAAGCAAATCCCGCATAGATCAATTGTAGTTGTAATAGGCATTGGCAAATAAATTAAACGCAAGAACTCTGTTTAACAAGGCATATACACGTGAGGTTTATTTAACCAATGAAAAAAATACCCACCACGCAAAAAAAACCCCAAAAAACCAAAAAAAAAACACAAAAAAACGCCGAAGTAAAAATAATAACAGAATGTTTTTTTTCCTCTCAATATTTCATATCTTGATGGGGCGTATACTAAAAGGGAAACGCGTTAAATTATTAACGTTACCTATTTGCTCCTTAGCCTATATATATATATATATATATATATATATATATATATATATACTGCGTGCCAAATTATTATCGAGATAACTTTTTTTCTAATATTTCAAATACCGTCCAATCAATTTACACAAAATTTTCACACAATATTGGCAACACTAAGCTGCGCAATCACTGAAATTCTCGTACTGATCTGCGCAATATAAACAAATTGGCGCCATATTTGTTATCAGCACGGTGATTTGAGCGTGCCAAATTATTAGAAATGTATAAGAATTTAGTGAAAAGATGGGCCGTAAAAGCAGTTTAAGTGATGCTGAAAAGAAAACTATTACCTCAGAACTCTCAAAAGATAAATTTACCCTAGAAATTTTTAAAATGATAGGGAAGTGTCAACCTGCATCGAAGTCTCCTTTGACGAGAAATATATATATATATGTTTCTGTGTGTGTGTGTGTGTGTGTGTGTAAAATGCCATGTACATACAGGCCTGTTTCGCTGTATCACAGTTCATCAGTGCGGCTAGACATCCGATTGTTTCAAGTCGGGATCGACACCCAACGGATTTCGCATCAGTCGGAGTTTCTACCCACAAGATATCAGCGGTCGACAGAGGGAAAGGGAAATTCTAGCGTATTATATTTACGAATGTGAACAAACGCCAGGCAGCCATAGTGCTCGATTCATTTTATGAAGAGCTTTGCGTTAGCGGAGACGCGGCTGTTGTGTGGAATTAACCTCTCTTTCAGCAGTGCTCAACAGAAATTATCATAATATATATATATATATATATATATATATATATATATATATATATATATATATATATGTGTGTGTGTGTGTGTGTGTGTGTATATACATATATATATATATATATATATATATATATATATATGTCTAAAAGAAAGAACAGTCAGATTTATATTCCAGAGTGCTCCATACACAGTAGAGTATAATATTAGAATTATTATTTAAAAATATTTATTCATCGCGAAAAAGAAATTACCATATTTCGAAAACAAAACCTTAAAATTTAATTTTTTTCCATTTTCAAGAGATGCCACACACAAACACACACACACAAACACACACACACACACACATATATATATATATATATATATATATATATATCATTGAATACGGCCAACAAGGAAGATTGAATTAAGTTTTTCCAGCATTTTAACATTTCTTTCGTTTTGTAGGTTTGCAGTAATATAAAAATTGTCCATAATTTTTATTGTCTCAAGCACTTTCGGCCATTTCTATAGCCATTTTCATTAAGGATAATATTTATATTTCTTGACTCCAACAAAACGGAAAATATTAGGATGCTGGAAAACATTAGAACAAAATTAATTCAGTCATCCTTGTCGATCCTATTCACTGAAAGATGTTTGAAAGAAAGGTTGCTACTAATATACGCATTATATATATATGTGTGTGTGTGTGTGTATTCTCAGTAAACTTTCTTTCAAACATCTTTCAATGAATACGACAAGGAAGTTTGAATTAATTTTGTTTTAAAGTTTTCCAGCATCCAAATATTTTCCGTTATATATATATATATATATATATATATATATATATATATATTTTTAATTTTTAATTTTTAATTTTCTTATTGTTCAAAATATATATATATATATATATATATATATATATATATATATATATATATATATAGTGGATAAAGGCGTTGGTTAGATCCAGTGACAGGACCCAAAGAGTGTGAGTTCAATACGCGGTTTAGGTAGTGGAGAACTTTCAGACGGAAATTAACAGGAGATAATTGACATCTATTAGACATGGCACATGGAATTAGAACAGTCTAGCCCAGTGAGTGAAATAAAGGGTTCAGTTCAACATTCCAAGCACCTGAAGAAGTCCGGAACTTACAACGGACTAAAAGTTGTGATAAATATGGCAATAAAGATGAGGACAATATTTCGAATAATGTAAATCTCTATCTATAAAAGTCAGGATGTGTGTGTGTGTGTAACGAATGCACGGCCGCAATTTTCGACGGATTTGCATCCAAATTTACATGCACATTCACTAAGTTTGTGGGAAGGTCAAGACCGACTTTGCATTTCCTAACTCCCATCGATAGTGGAAATAATAGATTTTTTCATGCAGTTGCGGCCATTTTCTATTGGCTAGAATGAGTGCCTGGCTGCCACGAATAGGCAGGAAGATTCTATTGGCCAGAGTGAGAGCCAACAGCTGACTGACAAGAATGTTAACTAGCATGCTAGTATGCAAAAAAATAATCGATAGCTGCCTTCGTGGGAAGAATTTAAATCTGCATGGCACTTTATTCCAATTGGCTCATTCGCTTGCTTAAACCCAACGTTGATTCTGATTCGGCAGAACTGGGTTCGGTGTGAAAAAGTATTTGTTGTTAACATTCTTTTTTCATTTGGTTTTTCCAGTTACGAGTCCTTTTTTAAAGCTGCCCGTTTTGTGTTCATTTTGTTTAGTTTTTTTTTTCGTAACAAATTTAATGTTTAGTATAGAGCTTAGAAAAAAATCGCACTGTGAGATAGGCAAGAAGTAAGGTATGTAACAACATCAGCACGGAAAAGGGCACTCCTTTAAAGGCATGGAAGGGCAAAAATATTTCAAGTCAAGTGATAGCGATTGCTGAATGAGTCGTACGATTTTTTAATCAAGCACAGTCAACGCCGGGTCATGCTGCTAGTAGTGTGTATAATATCTCATCTCAGAATCATACACAGATCCTACAGTTGTGTAGAGTCAGAATATCCGATTATTAAAGTAATAATGTTGTGGAGAGCTATTTCCTAAAGGTAACAGATTTCAATAGAGTAAAATATAACAAGATTCCTACTCTCTATCAATATTGATGTCTATACCTTCAATGTAAATCATAATGAATGAAGAGAGTTCTATTTTTATTACGCTGACATGATAAAACTGAACTACTTCATTGACCATTGCATTGATCAAATCAGCCTGGAAATGAAAAATAACATTTATGGATTATGCAACATGCTTCAAATCATGAGAGGCCAATAACATTAGATTTGTTCAACCGTGTCTCTCCTTTGAATCAAAATTTCATCGACTTGTCCGCGTACTAACTTAATTATATTTACAGACAGTAGGTAGCAGGAAGAAACTCCTGTGAAGTCTGGTTATGGACCATCTGTCTAATAGGCCACAGATTGGTACCTGCTATATAGGAAATGCCTTTACCATAATCCGCCACGTCCTATTTCTTGGCCTGACAATATAAGCAACAACATGGAAGACGGTTGTCTTCCATATTAACACTATTTCATCAGTTCGACCTAGTACAGTAAAGTATATGTATACATCGTTATTTAAATATCTTCAATGGAGCCTCTCAGACGGAGAGACATTTTAAACGTACAATATTTAAAATTATCATATTTATGCAGCAATTTAGATACATTTTAGAAAATGGAACCGACTGAGAAAACGTGTTAGTCTCGTGAGATCGAGATTTTCATCA